CCCAGCATACACTATTATTACAATACTATATAGGTAGCCTTAGGCCCCCGTCATACAAATACTATATATGTGGCCTTGGGCCCCCATCATACACTATTCTATTATTACAATTCTATATAGGTGGCCTTAGGCCCCCGTCATACAAATACTATATATGTGGCCTTGAGCCCTCATAATACACTTTTATTACAATTCTATATAGGTGGCCTTAGGCCCACGCCATACAAATATAACGCCGGCAACACTATAACGTGCTATTAATAACTTGTCGAGTGCAGCACTGGCACTTGTCTTGTTTCTTCCTATTTAATGCTATATCTATGCCTATATGGGTAATACAATCGGCATAAACCATGGTAACTTGTTTTAGCATTATTAAAATACGTAAACAAAAAGATATTTTTGGTCGCGAAAGGGTTATTGTCGGAGTGAGCTGACGGGGGCTGGAGGCCACCGGCGGGGGACACTCAGTCTCCCACCCCCTCTTCCCCGCAGCAAGCTGTATTATAAAGTTTGCCTCAGATGGCCGGCACTGCACGCCTAACACGGTGCGCGCGCGTGCGCAATATCTCCCGTGATAAATCGTATTTTGCAAAGATTATGCATTTAAAATAAAGAGGAGTTATCCTAGCATAGATTTATAGGATACCATTCCATCAGTTGACATCATTTAAGAAATAGGTGGAAGACCTTGCATGTAAGGTTCCCGCTGCGTATACCAACCAGTACACAATCTGGCTACGTTAGTGTGTTAGCGCATGCGCAATATCTCACTAGAGGAGTTATATTTTGTGATGAATATACATTTAAAATGGTTAGGGGATATCTCAGCATAGATTTCCCTAATAAACCTTTATCAGTAGACCTGTCTTTATAATTTGGAGAGCGCCCTAGCAGGTAGGGTACAAAACACCTACTTTTTGCCCTCGCGTCCTTCCCCTTGCTTCCCCTAACCCTCGCTCAGCCTCCTTCTTCTTCTACCGCCCCCAGCTATCTTTTCTGCCGCCTTTCCTCAGTCTCCCATCCCCTCTCCCCCGCAGCAAGCTATATTAAGAAGTTTTCCTCAGACGGCACTGCACGCCTAACACGGTGCGCACGCGTGCGCAATATCTCCCGAGAGCAATTGTATTTTGCAAAGATTATGCATTTAAAATGAAGAGGTGTTATCCTAGCATAGCTATTTATGATAACATTTTATTAGTAGACATTATTTAATAAATAGGAGAAAGACCTTGCATGTAAGGTCCCCGCTGCGTATACCACCCAGTACACAATCTGGCTACGTTAGTGTGTTAGCGCATGCACAATATCTCACCGGAGGAGTTATATTTTGGGATGAATATGCATTTAAAATGGTTAGAGGCTATCTCAGCATAGATTTCCCTAATAAACCTTTATCAGTAGACCTGTGTTTATAATTAGGAGAACGCCCTAGCATGTAGGGTACAAAACACCTACGTTATGCCCTCGCGTCCTCCCCCTTGGCTCCCCTGTCCCTCGATCAGCCTCCTTCTTCTTTTACCGCCCCCGTTATCTTCCCTGCCGCCCTTCCCCAGTCTCCAATCCTCTGTGTTTATAATTAGGAGCCATCTCTCGCTGCGCGGGCGGATGCTATATTATGCCTGCTGCTTGTGCCTCGCTTGCTTCTATTCAGAGATTCTCTGCTGTGTGCATAGACCCTACTTAAATGGGGAGGAAGACGAGGCGTGAGTCTGAGTAAGCCGTGCGTATTAATCCCAGCTTAGCAAGCAATCGCTCTCACAGAAAGGAGTCGTCTGTAAAACACGGCAATGATCGCCAGCGATTCCAATGACTATAATAATTAATATTTACTAATTATTATTAAATCAGTTAACACAATAATAAGCGTTACGCTGGCAACAATAATATCGTGAAGTGTTCGCCGGGCTCTCGCGCGATACGCAACGCGAATCTTCGAGAAAAACACCGCGGTATCTCTCATTGTTTTAGAGAACCGCGAATCTAAAAAGAAAATATTACCGTATCGAATCAATTAAATTAAATGAGCCCGGTTCATGAGAGTGTCCCACCGAAAAAAATAGCCAATAATAATAATAATAATAATAACAATAATAATATTCCCTATACAACGACTCCAGGCTCATCCATCGGTGACGCAGATGCTGTCTCGTAATTCTCGCGAGAACACGTCTGATATGGCGCTGATAACGAGAGTGACGCAGAGTGGCGCATTGGTGCGGCAACAGATAGAGAAACCAAACACTGATTGCCGCTTCAGTCTGGCTCGCTAACATAATCCTGTTCGCTATCTGTATCGGGTTAAAAGTCATCCACACGACGAGTGACGGTGATTTCATTTCTCCTTGCAGCGCAAAATTTTCATGTGATGAACAAGTATTTCGAACGTACATTACGTCAATCACATGTGTCGCAATAATAATTAGATCATTGTATTGCATTGATACAATTATATCAAATGTGGAGGGCCTTTTCGTTTTTCACTGGCGAGCAATAATTGCATGGTGAGCAAATTTTTGGTGAGTAATTGTCGGGTGAAGAATTAATAAATTATGAAATGTTGGGTATAGGTAAACATCGGCGCGCGCTGACTTGTTATATCGAATTAAATATAATATATTAATTAAAGAAATAAATCATGTAATAAATAGACATTATAAGTAATAATTTCGGTCGATTTTTTCCCAGGCTCGCCGTTTGGATGTCTGCCTATACTCGAGGTCGATGAAAGGGTTATCGGGCAAAGTAACTCGCTCTGTCGATACCTGGGGTGGGAGTTTGGTAAGGATTCCTTGTTTTTTCTTAAAGTAAAGAGTTTGGTAAGGATTCCTTCTTCGTTTAGCTCGCATGCCAGTAGATAA